TCCATATGCCTCTTATTTGCTCACCTGGTGATCTCCCAATCAGGGTAGGAGCTGGGGTCTGGTGGAGCAGGAGCCCTCCTGGTTTTTCCATTTAATTGGTGGTGGGGGGTTCTATGTGCAGGCTGGGGGTGTGGTGGTGTCAGAATTTTGCCTCTTCTTGGTGGTTTTTCCTGCCAGGTGTATCTCCAGTGTCTTTCCAAGAGTTTACTTCAGGAAGCATGCTTTCTGCTTCCTCCCTCTAGTCGCCATCTTGGAATCTTTACCTGTGGGAGTCCTTTGATGGATGGCATGCCAAAGCTTTCCTAGAAACTTTTCTCTAACTAGCTGGGTATGGTAGAGTAGGCCTCTAATCCCACTTACTCAAGTGACTGAGGAAGCAGAATCTCAAGGTAGAGAGTAATCTGGGTAATGAGCAAGATGCTGTCACAAAATAAAATAATAAAAAGGGGGCTCAGGGTATAGCTCAGTGGTAGTGTGGATGCCTATCATATGGTATTTTCACCAACAGATTCCTTTCCTCTCTAATCTTAGGTGACAGCTGTTTTCCTAAGGATTCCAGCAGATACAGTACAACAAATCAATGGGATTTTTTTCAGTGAAGTAAAACCTGTACTTCCTGTGTTGAAGAATGAGCTGTATATGATTTTTTTCTGAGACTTTTTGTAGTCCTTCTTTGTGTTTCCTCTGAATCATGTTTTTATACCCATTATTGACTTGTTACATGATGTCAAGTTACAATTTTGGTTGCATTCACTTCTTTTGCTCAGAAAAATGCCTGGTATAGGCTAGGAACTCAATAATTTTTGTTGAATGCTGCAATGAAATCAAAATAACTGAGGTGATTACATGAGCAAATGTACTCCTGATGGGGTATAAATGTCTTAAGATATGAGGTAGGAAATGAAATATGCCCAGCTTTCTAATTTTCTTCTGAAGTTCGTGCTTTCTGTCAAACAAAATATTAGTGAAACATATGAAATGGAGAAAACAAAACCTGAAGACAGTTGAAGGTATGGGATGTATTTGATAAATGTGTCATATTAATTTAAAAAATGGAAAGTCAGTGTTCATGCTAGAGAAATAAATTTATTTAAATTTAACTTGAATGAAAGAATCCTAGGAGAATGACAGAAGAATTTTCAAAATATGGTAGCCAAAATGATTGTAAGCATTGGCATAAGAATTATAATTCAATATAAAAGTTCACATCAGAATTAGGTGAGCTCACAGGCCAAGGTTATTTGCCCACAGAAAAGCATTCACTTATAGGAAGTCTGTAATGGTGAGTCCTATTGATGCAAATGGTCAGTAAGCCCAGATATTGGACAAGTGGAAGGTTAAAGTTTAATAAGGTGCAGAACAATCAAGGTAGATGGTATTTATTTAGTAGCTTGATCCAGAAAAGTGAGAGCCGAAGGCTGGTTGGTAATAAGATGACTGGAAACTCCTAGAAGAAAAGTAATTTGGGTGGTGGAAGCTGGACCCACATCCAAGAGATGGGAAGCCACTATTTCCATAACCAAAAGCTCCAAAGTTGCTGTATCCAAGAGACCCAGAGTAATTTGTCTGGTAGGGACTGGAAAAGAAGAAAATTTTTGGGTGGTAGCAGGATGCCTGGAAGGATCTGAGCCCCACACTTGAGCCAGTGGGCTCAGAGAATACCTCCTGTTGTCCATCATAGAGAGAGGAGCCCAGTTGGTAAGATCTTGGAGAAAAGATTACATTGCTAGGGTAGACAGAATTATAGCTGGAAACTGGGTACCTCACATAACCTCCAAGAGTGTGGGAGGAGAAGTTTCCACAGACACAACTGTAAGACATGTCAGGAGTTCTGGTTTCAGCTGAGTTGCACTGGAATTTGAGTGTGAATGCACCTTCTATGTTGGTACTTATATATCTTAAAAGTAGGTGTAGTAACTGTGACCATTTTAATGAGAATGCTTAATTAGGCTCCAGTAAAAAAGAAATAATTTAACCTTCAAAGAATTTCTTTATGAATGCCATCTTGAATGAAGAATTTCATTTGTTATTCAAAGCAATTGTTCATGAAACAAAAATGCTATTTCTCATTCATCTACCTTGGGAAAATCACTTACAGAAAATCACTGTAAGTGTATCTGTAAGATTGATGTTTTATCATCCTGTCCTTCTTCTAGGTATTAGTAAACTAAAGACACTGATAATTCTACTTCATTTATAGCTCCAAAATTATTTTGTAGTCTGAAGGAGACAAATGTAACGTTCCAAGTTTAGGAACACAATTGAGAAAGAACAGAGAAAAATCTGCATTGCATATCCCTCCTCCCAAATAACCCCCCAAAACCCTTAGTTGGTAGAAATGCTAAATGAGTAGGCAATAAATTTGAATTTAATTTTCTTGTTGCACAAGTGACCATATTGCTTTTGTATATGTGAATATTTGTGGATGAAGGCTCTAAGATTTTCAGGTGTGCTTTGAAGATTACATTGCATAAAACTATTTAAGATAAGGAATCCCTTTCTCTGACATTTACTTGCCTTCCTTTCTTCCCTTCTCCCTTTATTTTCTCCTTTCCTCTTTTTGTACTTTCTCTTCTTTCTTTTCCCTCCCTCCCTTCTTTCCTCACTTCCTTTCTTCCTTCCTTTCTTTCCTCCTTCCTTCATTGATGCTGGGAATCAAATCCAGGGCCATATTTCATTTGATGAAAATGTTCTACCACTAAGCTATATCCCTAACCCCTTGACTTTCCTCTTGATGGAAGACATTAATGAACTCACTAAGCTTGATTATCAAAAACTCTCCATCCTCATAAAGTTTAAATATTTTAGTGGTATTGATGTTATTGAGAATAAAATAATAAGTAAATAATGTATATGATTTTATTCCTTTCTTCCCTCTCAGATGGTGGGATTTTTTACTGTATAAGATTAAGAAAAAGCAAAATTTGTGGAAAGTCTATCCCACATAGACTTCACAGAAAGATGAAAGGGTTGAAGAATTTAGTTGTACCTGACCTTAATACATTGAAATATGAGTGGAGAAGGGTATGAAAAGAGATGAGAACGTGAAATAGAATATATTCCTTTGAGCTCTAATGTAGTGTATCTATCAAGTGATAAGTGTATTAGTCCTAGAAGACTAAGTAGCAGGGGGACTGTTCTGTACTATCCCATAAAGTTCACCATAGCTAATTGTAAATATAATGCAGGAGCATAGAAAATGACTTAAATAACCTATGGTGGTGGACAAATGTCAAATGTCTTAAGATGCCTATCTTTCAAACTGATAATATGATATAATGAAAATGAGCTGAGATTCATTCTATAAGGAATTAAGCTTACTGGATTGACATTTTAAGGAAAAATGTAAAATAATGGGACTTCCACACTGAGAATGTTGGAAATGTTGAATCAGGATGTGGTAATTGGAATTCCAATCTGATAAAAAATGGAAGATGTTTGCCAAACTCTTCTAAATTTTAGACTTTATGAGTCTGAATTTCTGAATTGAGGAATTGATTTCCAATCATGTTTCATTTATTGGTAATATAGTTTGTCCTCTATTTCTAAAATAAGCTATTATTATTCATTTATCTTCTTATGTATGAAAAACAAAAAACTTCTCAATTTGCAAACCTTCCCATTTCATTTGTCAATAAAATATTGACCATCAAGATATCTGCATAAATATTTAACTCACCTAAATTGAATTCATTCACTGGTTTTCATGTCATCCTTTCTTATATAAGCCATCAGTGAGGAAAATATTCTATGAGATCAGATAATAAGCAATTTTAATTATTCTTTTCTCAAAAAAAGAATGTTCTTCAGCAAAACACTTTTATTCAGTAGTGGAAGGGAAACATTTTTGTATGAACAAACAAATCAAAACAGCACAAGGGCCATAGCAAGATAAACTTTCTCAATCTCTCCTGCTCCTGCAGGAATCAGTCTTCATTACACGATTACATAGAGGTAGAACACAAATCACAGAACACCAGAAAGTATGACCCTTACTTTATAAATTTTGTAATACTTGTCAGAAACACCTGAAAACAATTTAAGTCAAAATGATGTATATTGCTTTTGAGGTGGCAGAAGAATCTTCTTAAGATGGCATCTTCAGCTCAACACTCCAAGGCAATTACGTTACAAACTTTCTTTGGAATAAGAACATTTTCCTGGTTCTGAGAAATCCATTAATGGGAAACACGAACTCTGATTAGAGATAGAAATACATTGGGAAATTTTATCACATATTTAGTTCTTATTTTTAGTATTATTTCAGCATCTTTAAAGCAATTTATAGTGTTTAGCTCACAACACAGTAAACACACATACACAAAAATAAAGGAAAGCTAAGATTGGCTCTTAATTGTCTGCATTTAGTTTAAAGCAGGAACAGAGGAAAAAGGAAAATTTTCAGTTAATATTTTATTAAACCCATTTAAATTGAAGTCCCAATAAAAACAATACCTTATGCATCTTCCATGTTAGTACTGCTGCTTTCGGATGACACCAGACATTATGTAAGCTTGCCACTTTGTAGCAGCAATAAAGGTATGTTTCTGTTTAAAAGGAATGATGATGAAGGGATCAGTTAAAAACTTTGCTAGCTAGACGGCAACAATTTTGAGACGGATTGTGAAATGGCAATCAATTATTTTTAATTAAGCTAGCTTCCCTCAGCCTGGACACTGTCTACCTCTTAAGCAGCTTCCTGAGTGATCTGCAGGGTGACCTTTGCTAAGGGAAGATGAATAATAGCTTTGAAGATTCAAGATTAATACCTGAATTCCAAGGCGACAAACATTACTGTGCCTTCCAATTGTAAAACCACAAAAATTACACATGTGTGACTATGATGATCTTTTCAATTCAGTTAAAAGCAGCAGGTAACTTGTTTTGCTGTGCCATGAGGATGACACACCCAATGATAAGGGTATATAAACGCCCCAGTCCCTGAAGCAACATTCAAACTCAGAACGTCCTCCTCATCACAACTCCCATCTCCTCTCAACATGGCCTACAACAGCTGCTCTGGAAATTTCTCCTCCCGCTCCTTTGGAGGTTACCTACAGTACCCAGTCTCCTCCTGTGGATCTTCCTATCCCAGCAATCTGCTCTATAGGGCTGAACTCCAAACTCCCATCACCCACCAGCTGGATTCCCCTCTCTACAGTGGCTGTCAGGAGACCTTCGATGAGCCCGGCTGCCAGTCGTCCTATGAGCTGTCCAGTCCCTGCCAGAGGTACTGCCACGGCCCGAGGAGCTCAGCGTTCTTCAGACCCTCTGTGGGATTTGGGTCCAGGGGCTTCCAATCTTTCGGTTGTGTTTCCCCATCCCTGGGTTTTGGGTCCAGTGGTTTCCAGTCAGTGGGTTGTGGTCCCCGCCCTTTCTCATCCTTAGATTGTAGATCCAACTTTTACCGCCCAGCCTACTTCTCGTCTAAAAGCTGCCAGTCTGTTTCTTACCAACCAGCCTGTGGATCTGTCTTCTACTAGTCATGTATTGAAGAAACCAGATATTTAAGCATAATACCTGTAATCTTAAGAGCTACGCTATCTTTTGATGTATCCTGTCGTTAACCTAGAATTTTGACTTTTGCTATTACTCTCACAGATTAGAAATAATTTGAATTCCAGTAATTGGAGAATGTATTCATTGGAGAAAGATGCCAAACTGCTTTCTTAGGATTATATAGGCATGCAATCATTGAAGCATAAGGAATGGAGATACATTCTGTATGTGTCTCCTAGTTATTTCTCCTAGTGCATTTGTCTTAGATTTCACAAAGTGAAAAAGCTGTAACTTTAAATAAAACATATATTATTTGAAATTTGTGGATTTCTTTATTTTTTTCTACTTTTTTATTTTCAGAACAACTTCTAAATAGCTGGCTGGGTTTTTCTGCCTCTTATACTTATTTAAAAGCTTTTAACTTTAAACAGTAAAATCATCCCTTTTGATTTGAAAGGAATATTTTCAACTTTTATGTTTACTTATTTGTGAACTGTTAATTCCTTCACATGATCAAATGAAGAACACTTTTTTTTATTTTTTTTTATATTTTTTATTTTTTTTTGGTGGTACTGGGCAGTTTGAACCTAGGGTTCAGGCTTGCAGGGCAGGGTGGGACAATTGTACCACTCTGCGGGCCCTAAGAGTACACATTTTTTACCTTCAGAACTTTAGTTCATCTTATCCATTCTCATTTAACTCTTTAAAAGTTTTTGAATGACAAGTAGCAATTGTGTATATTGATGGGGTACAATTGATTTTTCTGTTTCTTTTGTTATGTTTTTGGCAGGCTAGGAGCCCTCACTTTTAGGATCCCAAACTCATAGCTGTGGATTCCTGTTGTATTACTTATACACCTCAATGTTTTATACAAAATGATTCCAACTTATAAGGCATATTAAGTTGACTTTGTCCCATAATTTTAGGAGGAAGATTATTCTTATAAAATATATTATAAACTATAGCCAGGCACTTTCTTGCTCATGCCTATAATCCTTGCTACTTGGGAGGCTGAGGTTGGGAGAATAGTGGCCAGAGACCCCATCTCCACAGTAGCCAGAGCAAAATGGACTGCAGGTATAGCTTAAGCAGTAGAGTGCTTGCTTTGCAAGTGCAAAGCCCTGAGTTCAAACTCCAGGGAATATGAGAAATTGGGGTGAGGAGGTCCAATGTTAGTGAGTTAGATCTGGTTAGGGTTCCGTTCTCTTTGTCTAGAGTTCTAAACAAAGTCGCTAACACATGCCCTGATTGGCTAGCAAGTAGGACAAGAATTTTCCATAGAATCAATCTTATAAGTTTGATGAAGTCCCAATTTTCTCTTATTTTTCTGGTTGGTTAAGTGCCTAGATTTGAAAGAATACATAAACATTCTGTTATAGCATATTTCAGCTAAATATTCAGAAAGTTGATAACACTTGAATCATCTGTTATGTCCCAAACATTTTATCATTTAAGTCAAGAGCAACCCTATAAAAGGTATGGATGATTTGTGCTTTCCCATGGTGTGTTTTGGTTTATTCTTTGTTGACTCAATATCCAGTCTCATTTGTCAATTATCTCAGAATTTTGTTTTTAGTCATAATTAGTAGTAATTCATTAACATAAATGATCAGTTTAGGAGACCTTCACTTTCCTTAAACCATGAATTAATTTAGTGGGTTACAATGTGAATGTACAATGAATAGATTTTAATTAATGGTTAAATCTGAAAGAGAAGGAAGGCATCCCTCTTTTTATAAGTCTTTCTAAACAAAATAGAGCTGTCAAAATCAGCATGCAGAGGGATCACTTGAAAAAAAATCAACTTGAATGCCAGGTATAGGACAATCTACACATTTAAACCAATGACTTACGTAGAGTGTGGGTCTTGTGTTGTCACCTAATCAATAGTGCCATTGCAAGTTCCCTTTAGCAAGCTGCAGCAATATCCAGAAACTACCAGTAGGTGGAGATAGAGGGAAAGTTTACAATTAATGGTTGGGTGGAAATGTAGACATAGAATTGATGCCACCTGAGAGCATATAATGAATTATTTAATTGCTCTGACTACAGCGGTTTGGGCATATATTGAGTTGTTTCAAGCCATAACTATTATTTATCTTATGGGATTGATAGCAATATACTTTTTCCTTAAAATTCGTAAAAGTATTTTTAGGAAGAACAAAAAAGAAAACGTTCATTTTTTAATGCAAAAAAGTTGAATGCTTAAACCATATTACAGGCAAGCTGATGGTGAGAACATTACTTGTGGAATGACTATTGCATTTATTATCCAGCATGAGGGTAGGTGATATAACTGATCACATGAAAAATTAAAGACATAATTTTACTGGAAACATATCAATGTCTACATCAAAAGATGATACAAAATTTAAGATGACTGCTTCCCAAAATGATCACATATTTTTGGCAGTTACAAAAGATGTGTCAATTTGATGCATAAATTTTCATATAGGTTGTACAACTTTTAAAAATCATTTTCATTCATGTTAAATGCTAAGTTTTCCTGTGCATGTACAAAATAAAGCAGTAACTGGGAATATTTCCCTCCTTAGTAGAAGAACAAAAACATCACTAGCGGTAAAATAAAATCAGTTTTATAACAGGTTTGTCCAATATTTCAAATGCGTAATTAATTTCAGTCATTTGACTTCTTCATCTGGTCCAGACTCCAAATGAAGCTATGTTAAACTCACATGTTCTTTTCAACAATGCTAATATAAATTATTTAAATAGTTGAACATTGAAGATATAATTATTTGTTGTCTCAGAAATAATAAATGTCACAAATTTTGGTCAAGGATGATATCATGGTATAGTAAAGATAATAAAACAAATCCTGTGAAGAAATGGATTTGCAATTGTGGTAGTTACATAAGACAGTATTATTTGCAACCAAGTTATAATAGTGTACCAAAGTGGAACTTAAAATGTAAAAAATAATGTATGTATTTTAAATTATGTTGGCAATCAATGTTTTCCCTTCCCTTGTCAGTCACTGCTTTCACCTCTGACTGTTGTATTATCTTAGAATCCTTGCTGATTTTTAATTCATGTGTTTTAGTGTTATTTTATACAGCAAAACATATGTAAGTAATTTTCTTCTGTTCCTTCTTGAGATATACATTCTTCCATGATAAATTGTCAATGTTTTTCTATATATTGCTACATCTTTTCATATTACTTTACTCAAGAACTGGTCCACAACTTCCCCCTTGTTCTCCTTCAATCTGACTCATCAAAATGAGAATCTGGTTTACAGTATTAGTGGATGTCACAAGATTTTGGCAGTTACACTCTTCTTATTGATATTGTTCAATATTATTGAAAAGAATAAATGATATTTTTCACCTTGACTCCTAAATTTGAATAAGCTAAATGAAACTAATAATGATAAAATTAATAATATAAAATTTTTCATAGCATTCAGGCTTTCTAGTAATTTCTTCCATCTATCATTTAGTGTAATCATTAGTAAAAATGTCTTAAAACAAATTTGTTTAACTTTCTTGAAGTTCTTTCCCTAACTCTAAATTTATTTTCATTTTTACTGCTTTATAGATACTACTCATGAGACTAATGATACAGATTCAATAGTAGATTAAAATCAATTCAGATCAAGTAATTTCCACAGTACCAGAAATACTAGTGACTCCTTAGTTAAAATAGATCTATAGATTTTTAAAAGAGTTCAGAAAAAAATGAATAAAGCAGGATTCATTCAAGAATCCAAATTCTACAAGGTCTTTGATCTACAAAATTTGGCAAATTTCAAACTGTTTTTTTTTTAGTCACATTTCTCTCACATCTGAAAGGGTCTATAAAATGTCATCTTTGTCTGTCTCACAGGGATGTCCAAGTGTTAGATGAAAATTGTGAATTTGTATTAGCTTGCTCCATTTAGCATGTGCTCGCTAACGATACCAGGAATATCTATGGCAAACAGTTTCATGTAATTTTGACTACCTTTGCACAACAGCATCTGTCCTAGTACATGCAGTACATCTTTGATGTTTTACCTGAGCAGCTTCAAGTTTACACTAGGAAAATTGAAGAAACCCACTGCAATTCCTCCCTTACACAGTTGGGAGGTTTCATTAGGCTGAAAGTAATTATACATCTTAGACATTGTTCAACCAATGAAAGATAGAAACTGATGAAATGCTTCGCTGTTCAGAACCTGAGGTGGAAAATTCCAAGCTTCATTCTATAAGCTCCTAAAAAGTCTCTGCAGGGTTGAAAGCCAGTTGCTCACCATAAATATCAACTAGAAAATGCACGCTCAGATGAGACCTTTCTCTGATGTTATCATCTTCCATGGTCTCTCATACTGCTTCTAGAAAATTGAGTCAAACAAAACCCCTGCACTGAAGTATCTGACTTTAGTTCTGCATCTAACACTTTGACTTCAGTTCTTTCTTGAGACCCAGACTATAACTAATGAATATGAATGTTTGTTCAAAACTTCTCAGATGTCTTGCTATTAGCTTGATGGAAGTTGAGCCTTGAAGAAGCATCAGGCAATTACTGATAGCTTCTGAAACCAGTTACTCCCAACTAAGATCTTTGTGAGTCTCCTTACACATGTTTGGAGAGAAGGCTTAAGAATATCCCCACTATGAGAGGCAAGGAATCCTGGCATTTACACCATTCAACAAAGAATAAAGTGTTTGATAGTTGTTTAAGGTTCACTTTTCTCTTGCCTGAAAATCTATACTTATATTCAAGAATTAGATAGGTAATTTTTTGTCTAACTATAAACCTCAACTTATAAATTATATATTATTCTTATTGTATGTATTTCTATTTGATAAACTAATTTCTTTGTTCTCCTGTATCAGCACAAATGTGTGGCCTTCATTGACAAATAATTCTCATGGATGTTAATCCCACTTTTCACATGAAAATGATGATTTTCAAAGAATTTAGGACTCCCAATAAAAAACATACCCAGTGCCCCAAATGCATGCCCCAAATTCATTTGTAGAGTCATATGGATCTTTACTAAAATCTCCCCAAATATTTGAATGCAAAAACTAGGCAAGATAATAATAACATGAACAAGATGTTTAGATGCCAGATTACATATATTTATTAGACTGGAATTTTCATTTTCAACTACTCTTGAATGAAAAGTGTACATAGTTCAGATATTAAAGCACAATTTTTGGTTATCATTAATTTCAGAGTCTACCAGTAGTTGAGGGTTATAGAGGATGTTAACAGATAAAAGGATGGTATTTGGGGATTGGAACGAAAACAATGGCTAAACTGAGAAGAGACCCTTATATCAAAATGCCCAACAATATAGACACTTAATAAGTGAATCCACAGATGCCAGATCCACAGCTTGGTCTGTACCAGGAAGACTGGCAGCTCCTAGAAACCAAGTAGGTTGGGTGGCAGAATCTGGACCCATAACTCAGGTAAGGGTAGCCATAGAGTCCATAATTCAAGGATCTAAAGCCACCGGATCCACAGCCTCTTGAGTAGCACCTGCTGGATCCAGAGCCCAGAGAACAGGAACTTCTAGATCCATAGCCCAGGGAACGGCAGCTGCTGGACCTAAAGCCCACAGATCCAGTACAAGTCTTCTGGCGGGGGCTGCAGAAAAGGGAGCTCCTTGGGTAGTAGTAGGACCTCTGGTAGGGACTCGACACCACACACGATGCCAGGAAACTGGTGGGCTTACCACAGGTCTCATGGCAGCCACTGAGCACAGAGGAGCCCAGCTGGCAGGGACTGGGAGAGCAGAGGTTAGTGCTGTAGACCAGGTTGCTCGGGTAGGAAGAGCCACAGAAGGAGCCTGAGAGGGGCAGGCAGCCCCTCAGGGAGCGGGAGGAGAAGCTTCCAGAGCAGCAGCTGTAGGACATGTTGAGAGGAGATGTCAGTTCAGCACTCAGTTCAGCTGAGAAGATTCTGAGTTTAGTGTCTCAACCTGGACAGGGGCGTTTATATACCCTTAGCAGCAGGCGTGGTACCCTATAAGGTCATCTTGACACATTTGTGCTCCCTCATTTGCAAATGCATAGCTCAGTAATCTCTCTGTAATTGCGTTTGAATAGTTTTCCAGGTAGTGGGTGCTACCTGGAATTTATGGGTGCTTTAGTTTCTGTTGTTATAGCAAAAGCCAATGGACTACACCTATGGAGGAAATCCTATGACAATTTTATTTTATGCCTATCTCATTGTGACACAGGAAGCCCTTCCTATCTCTCTATTCTGTGATACCTGCCTCTGCTTCCTTTGTATCCATCCCTGACTTTGCTGGCAAGTGAATTTGTCCTAAAACTGGAGTATGATATAACATTATTTTTGCTATGATGTAGTAGATCAGTTTCCACCTGGGCAGGATCATTCAGTGAAAATGATCTCCAAAATTACCTTGGGATAACTTATTGTGACAGAAACAGAAAACTATTACATTATTACACAATTACAGAATATGTGTCACATTCAGTAGACAGAGAACCAAAAACAGATAAAGCAAGGAGACTGTGACTAGAAACTGAAAGAGATCTTGTCTTGTGTTTACCAACAAAGTGCTCAATTAGAACATGATCAGGGAAGATGAACCAGGATGGATACATTCCTACACAGCCAAGAAGGCAAAGAGAAGGCTGACGGATTTCACATTTTTGTTTCCATTGCATACTTTTGTTTGTTTGATTGGTTTTGGGGTTTTTTTTGAGACAGGGTCTTGCTAGGTAGCTGAGACAAGCCTGGAACTTGTGATTCTCCTACCACAACCTCCCAAGTGCTTCCATTAAAGATTTGTGCTTTACACAAATTGTAAACACATTGTATTGTTTCGATGTGTTTATAATTAAAACTTTGCAACAGTTACATATTTTGGGAATTTTGTTATATTGTCCTTTTATTATCTGCATTTATAATTGTTTAGGACTTCTATCTTCTTAGAATGTCTCCAGCTTTTCATAGTATGGATTTCCGATGACTTTCTACCACTTCTATCCTCATTTTTCTGCCTAAATGTGGAGTTTCTCTTCCATTGCAGGGTATATGAAAGCTTTTCAGTTTCTCTCTCTTTCAATTGCTCTCCTCCCCACAATCCCCATTTATCTTTTTTCTTTTTGTATTTCTTGTGTTTAAATTTAAATTTATCTTTATTTTTCTTCTTTAGTTTGTTATTTTTTATTGTTTGTTGGTTGGTTGGTTTATCTCTGGCAGACTATAGATTCAAAGTTGAAAAAAGTTTGATAGAATTATTGCACTCACAGAGTACTCTTGGGTATTATTTGTGTTAACTAACAAAGTGTTCTTTGTTAAAATACAACTAACTAAATTATATTCCATTGTCATTGTTGATGGCAAAATTTTCCTAATTTTTTTACTGAAATATAATAAATTAATAATAGTGTTAAAATGTAAATTTCTGGTAGTATTGAAAAATAATAAAATGGAGACCTACTAGAAAGAGTAATTAAGAAAGACATAAATACATTCAGCTTAAATAGCTATTTTGTGAAATTTTTTCTGTTCTTTAATAATGAATTCATATTTTCTTATTTGATATCTCAACAACAAGCTAAATGGTACAATAGTGTAGAGAGAAGTTCTTTCCCAATTTGTTTTTAGCTGCTATTTCAAACATAACTCTTAAAATAATCCTGAAAACAAACAAGTAAGAGTTAAATAAGGATGTTCCCTATTTAAAATTCCCTGTTCCTCATTAGAATCCTCCAGACAAACCTGGGGATTTTATGCATTTTTCTTCAAATAATCAGCCTCCTTGTTCAAGAACCTTTCTCTGAGAGAGTTAATGTAAGAAAGAATTCTTCCCTTCCATTTTGTCTCTAAATCTATAAAATTGTGTCAATATTAAGCTGAAATAAGTTTAAGGAAAATTTGTAAATGCTCTATCTTTGAGCTAAATTCATTTCAAAGGTTATATTATTTGTTCTGTATAATAGTGATCTCTATTATTTTAACTGAATAATTAAAATTTGGAACATTTCACATGAAATTTATGGCTCAGGGAAGTTAATGCAAAGACTTCTGATATTTTGATTGTAGGCTCCCATCAATAGGCTATGGATACAATGCATTTTGATATTTGAGCTGTTTCTAGCAGAATCTCATCCATAGTCGAAGGGTACAGCTTCTGATACCTACCTCCTTCTCTTCTGGAAATTACCAGTAAACCCATCACTAGCATTCTAAGAATCTTGTCTTTATTAATTATTTAGATTCGAACCTCAACAAACCAAAGTCAATACTTCCTATATAAAGATTACCCCCAATCACCTTATATCACTAATTATGAGTCTACATTAAAATAGAGAGCATTTTAACATCATATTTTTAAAAGCACATAAAACACATTCACTACATAAAGAGCGTGGATGTTTTTGCCTTTTTTTTTTAAATGTGCCACATTCAATACTGAAGCACATTTCCCCATGTAAGATATTCTTGGTATTTTTCCCTAGAGATAATTTTATTAAAATTTATGAGATGAAGAAACATTGAATGTTTCCCAATAAACATATTAATGAGCCCTCTAAGTATGTCTTTTTCTAAAAATTTTCCAAAAATAGTTGCAAGCATAGTTTCAAACACAAGGTGTTTATTAGGAGATGATCCCAGTAAATACCTTAGGGAGAGGGAAAATGTTCAGGGAATGGAAGGAGTTCAAGACGGTATGTTATTAAGCCAGCAACCACTGTGGGCAACTGGAGCTCAGTTCTAGTAGAATACTTCACAGGGGCTCAGCATGCTTTTGTGAATTTAAAAAAGTCCTTAGGCAGAATTTTTAAAGATGCTCCCAGAAATCAGTCTTCAGTGTGTGCACATGATTACACAGAAGATATCAGTAGGGTTTTGAAGCTGCTATTGGGGGTGCTATGTCCCTTTGAACATCATATTTATAATAATGTTAGAAAGAAATAAGATAGTGTCTGGAAGGAAAAAAGAAAATGATAAAAACAGAATGGCATGAAAACGTAAGATGAATTTAAACCATATTGTGACACAGTAGAAAGTAGATGTAAGTGCCATAAAATGGCAGACAGGGTTAAAGATAGGCTGGACACCCACAAATGCAGCATCTAAACTGACTAAAGTTTGGTTATGTGTCATCAACTACAGTGTAAGCTAATATAAAGACCACTAAGTGGTCACCTTTATTTTAATCACTCTAATGAATTTGAGTTTAAGTAGATCAAACATATACTATTAGCAATTGCAAATTGCTTAAGATATTGAACTGTTTCTTCATTTTATTGAAAATAAAATGTAGGAGAAAGTACATATAATGAGTGTATATATGCAAATGTGTATGTATATATGTATATAAACATTTCTATCTATACACATACATATACATAGATACATACAAATATACTTCAGCAAAATTCAAAGCATTACAGAGTGACAGAGATCCTACATGAGCCATAATTGAAGTCAAAAGAAATGATAGTCTACCTGGAGGTTGATTCCCTTTAGCTTGTATTCTGAGTTGAAAATGGTGATTGAGACAGAGATTTCTCACAACTAACAGGACTAGGGAAACAAAATTGGAATTCTGGGCTTATCAAAGAGTTAGGGCCCTGGGAAATATCCCCTTCTTTAAAGAACCAATTCTTAGAAGTGAAATTGAATTTCTTATAACTTCTTTAAAAGACTGAAGCCCAGGTTTAAATTATATCAACCCCCAATTCCACTGAAATGGTCTAGGATACTGTTGTCTTTATTCTAGCAGCCTCACAGAACCAAGAATAAGTCCTTTCTAGAGGAAGATAAAGCCACCAATTTTTTCATATGAAGTGTCTTTTATTCTCTCCAAACTTAGAGAGAATATAAGAGGACTGAAGTACAAGAGAACACCAAAAAATAGAATCCAAATCATAGAATCCTTATATATAATTCATGTGACAAAATCAGACATTAAAATGGAGCCATGTTTTAGTCAATAAAAACTGTGTAGACAACGGTGGTCCCAAAGATTGTGTTGCTCAGTGATATTATAACCATTTTGTTTAAGTATACCTTGTGAACAGTGATTCAGTTGCCTGACAATACATTTCTCAGAATGTGTGACCATCATTACATGACACTTGAATGTATCTATGTGAAGAATTTAATATTAGGAAATAGGAACACCTCATTTTTAAGAAATGATTGTATTTAAAGAATGAAAGACAAGATTGAAAAGATTGGTGGAAAGTTAAAAATACTGCTATAGAACATAAGCAAAATTTTAGAAATTTCATATATAATAACTGATTTGATACTCTTCATCTATGGGTTTTCAAACAGGATATTAAACACAGCTGCACTGAGAGTTAGTGAACATAAAGATGGCAAAGAAGGAAATACCCAAACTATAGTACAAGGAGAAAAAATATTGAAAAGATAGAAAAGACTATAAGAGACATACATAGTATAAATAAAAATTTGTCTTACTTATAATTAGAATCTGAGAAAAAGAAGGAAATAAGAATGTTGCAGAGATAATATTTGAAGAGACTACAGTTGAGGGCTTATCAATATTGATGAAAATCATCAACTCACTTGTGGAATGCAATGAGGAAAATGATGTAGACTTGCTCTAACCAGTCTGGAGGTAACTGAAATGGAGTGGACATTATCTGGAGACAGTCTTCACATAGTTGCCCAAGATAAACACTGAAGCTTTGTTTTTGTTTTTTTTTTTAATTATCAAACAATTGAGATAGTTTTTTTTTTTGTCAGACCAGTTGGCATATCCAAGACAACATATCCATTCTGAACTCTGCTATCTACCAGCCAATTAGTTTATTTTTAAAAAAGTATAAATAAGATTCCATATATCCAGATTTCTTACATGATTTTTTTTTCTATAGATCTTCCCTAAGAGTGGGCTGGTAAGAGAGGGAAAAGAGTGGCC